CCCCGTTGCAGCATAGTGCCAAAACATCACTACAGCAAGAGGTGCTTAAGAAATGTTTGTTGAATTAAACTTCCAAATAAATCATGCCAGCTATTGTCCATAGTAGAGATAAACAGCTGACAAATTTGTCAGTATTGATTTTGTTTGTACTATTACTTTTCCTGTCTAACTGGTTATGTTATGTTGTATCATTGTGAGCAATCAGCGAGGAGTAGGGATGGGTAAGGTAGGCAGCTGCGCACTCAACATTCAGGGAATATTAATGTTACTTTTTTAGAAGCACACATTTTTATTGCCATTAAATTTTATTGATAGCATTTATATACTTTGGGATAAATCAAGGTAGATAGAACAGTGAAGGCTTAAAGCCTCTGGCAGACAGTACCATAGAGTTTAATAAACGTTAGGATCACAGGTGCTCATTCATCTGTTATTTGATATAGTTATAGAAACGCTAGCAATAGCAGTAAGATGAGAGAAGGAAATTATAAAAAAAAAATAGGCAAAGAGGAGGTAACTGATAACGTGATAGTTTAGTTAGAAAAAGCCTAGAAAATCAAAGAAACCTATGGAGACAAAAGCATCCTTAATAAAGGTGCAGGCTATAGAATAAACCTACAAAAATCAAATACATTTTTAGAACTATGGAATGAATAAAATATTTAGGTGTCCATCTACAAAAGCACACTCATTACTTCTGTAGGTTCAGTTACACAATGCTCCGTAAAGAAATAAAGAGCAACTTAAATAGTCGGAGGAATATTCAGTGATCATGGGTGGGCTGTGCCAACATTAATAAAAATAGCAATAGTACCAAAGTTAATTTGTAATTTTAATGCTATGGCAACCAAACTACCAAGACACCTTACAGCATGAATATTGAATTTTTAAATTTGATATAATGATTGAAGCTATGTTTTAAAAACGAAGATTAATCTGGCAGTAAGAACTGGCTGTCTTATTTTACATTTCACAAAAGAATCAGAACTTAATAAAAATAATGAAATTCATTTGAAGGACAAAACATCTAGAATTTGAAGAGAAATAATGAAAAAAGGTAGAAATTGAGGAAGAATAGAACTTCAGACCTCAAAATTTATTATAAAACAACATCTCTAGGGCAGGGTAGGTTGGTAGAAATGTAATAATATATTCCAAATTGTTATCTTTTGGAATTACCTCTGTTCCTTTGTCTGTGTTAAGAATTTATCTCCTATCCACAACTTTAAAAGGTTTATGATCTGCTTGTCTTCTAATTTCTTTATAGTATGATTTTTAATTTCCAGGTCGCATATCCATTTAGAATTTATTTTGAAAATGGTTTAAGATGTTAGTGGTCTATGCCTACCATGAAGCTGCTAAGTGGGAAAATGAAGAAAGTACTAGGACTGGAATCAGGAAGAACTGAGTTCAGATTTGACCTCAGATACCTATTAGCTGTCTATCCCTGGACAATACCAGGTTCCTCAAATGTAAAATGGGAATAATAATAATAATCGCTACCTTCCAGGGTTGTAAGGATCGAATGAGGTAATAATTGTAAAATGCTTAGCATAGTGCCTGGTCCATAGTAGCAGCTAACTAAATGTTAGCCATTATTGTTATTCTATCCAGTTTTTTCAGTGCCAACTAAAAGAGGTCTTCTTTCTTAATAATTTGTTTTCAGGTTTATGGAAAATTAGAATCCTGAGTTCCACTATTTCTGATTCTCCCTTGTCTATTTCACTGATTTAATTCTCAATTTTTTTTTAGCCAACATCAAATGGTTTTAATAGCTGCTGTGTTTTTTTTTATTTTTTATGTATTTGATTTTTAATTTATGGAATAAAACAAGTATTTCCATAACATAACAAAAAAAAAAAAGATTGCACATGAAACTTCAACTCTATTATATACAATTGCCATTCCTTTTAAATATATAATAAAGTATCATGTAATTTTTTCTTTTATTGTTCCTCCCCCTGCCCCCTGAAAATAGGGTTGTATATGCCACTAAAACTTGTCTTAATATTGTTATGTCTTTGTTGTCCATGTGTTTATCTAAGCCTTTCTTAAACATATTGTTTTCAGTCTTTACGACCTTTAGAGGGAAGATTAAAGTTCTGCACATTACTTTCATTATGCACATCAGTATTTCCTTTTACTTGCCCCAAGGTTTAAAACCTTTAGGGGTACCCTCTTTATATACTAGAGTTTGGTGAAGAATTCCATATTTTCTCTATCCTTGATGCTATAAGCTTTCATTATATCATGCCTCCATTTTCACCTTTGCAGACTGAAAAAAATCCTATTTTTTCCGCTGAAATTACAGAAATTGCTTTACCATAGCTTGATTATTTTAATTACTCATTTTGACTGTCTTAGAGGATATATTTTTGGAGTGCATATGGGGCCAGGAATGGTAATGACTACAGGAACTACATGATGTATTCCCCCTATACATGCGTAGTTTTATTCCTAGATAAAACAATTTTTGTTTTCCAGTCTCAAACTCATTTTGTGATCGAGAAGCTCAACCATCATATCCACTGTATCCTATGCCCCTAGTTTTATTCCTTTGTTAGCAAACTGTTGTACTTTTTTTTTTGGTAGGGGAGAGGAAGAGGGGGTTACATGAGGCTGGTAGAGAAAAATGAAGCAGGTGGTAAGAGGATGATTATGGCAGTCTTGGAGTATGATGACCTGATAACTTCATGAACTTCTGACTCAGACGTTTCCAAAACAGACTACTCTATAATAGTTTATCAGAGTAGACACATAATTTCCAGTAGCTTTCATCAGATACTTATTCTTGTAAAGATTGTGTTAATTTTTTTGTAGTTGGCTTTTCCTATTTCCTTTTATTTTCGTTTGAGGTTCTTTTTAATTAAACTGAAAATAGTCTTACTATATGTTAATATATGAAGTACTATATAAATGTATGATGGTAGTAGAAATAAGAACAGCAATATTCTTAATGCAAAGATGTACTTAAAAAAAAAGAAGAAACCCTACATTCTAATAAAAGTTCTTCTAAAATATCTTTTAGTATTGTTTTTTTTTTTTGTCAGTTTTTAATCTAATGGGGTTCTTTAAATAGAATCTATCATGGTACAAATAAGGAAATTAAACAATAAAAACATGTCTTTCATACATAATATTTTGTAGTTTTACAAAGCACTCTTTACAACAACCTGCTGAAATAGGTGTTGCATAGAAGCAGCAATAGAGAGGCTTTGTCTGTGCTACTCAGTGTCAGAGCAGAGAATTTCCCTCTTCCAGCCAGCTTCATTCTTTTGTCACTGTCCTCTCCTGCCTCTTGGCAGTCATATGCATTAATGTTCATTTGAGAAATATATGTTCTAATATCAATCATCAGACATAACATAATAAGTAATATGATAAATAACACAAGAACAAAAACTCATGATCACATTCCTTATTCTCCTTTAATTATCCTTTAACATTGATCTCTTCAGTCTTTAATACAAGGTGAAACAAATACCCTTGCTTTTCCTTTGAGTTAAGGAATGCTTACTTTACATTCTGTTTTTCCTCTTATTTCTGATTATTGCCAATTTTTTTCCTTTTTATTCTGTATAGAAATTTGGATGTTTATCTATCCTTCTTAAGTTATGTGGATATAGTATAGTTTTAGGATTCTCATTCTTATATTTATTCCTATATTGTAAATATTTTATTATCACAAGAGTATTTGACTCCTAAGTATTATTTTTAATATTAACTGTAGCTTCTGTAATTTCCAAGTTCTTTAGCATCATCCTAACCTAAAATCCTAAAGTGGATTCAGTATTAAGCTTTAAACAAGTCCTAATGCATTAACAGCCACATTTTACACATTAAGTTCATAAGGCAAATTTAGAATAATAATTTTTGTACAGTGAATATTAAGCATTGCAGGTGTATAAGTTACAATAAGCAATTATGGTTTTCCTTAATGTATATCAGATATTTAACTAAAACAAACATAATTTGAAAAGCATTCATTTCCACTTTTCAAAATATAATTAAAACTAGTCTTGGATTTAGGTAGTAAATTGATTTTAAACTACATTTTAATTTTTAAATCTAGAGAAAAGTAATATCCATATTGAAAACCATTTCATAAACATGAAATTATTGTTCTATAGAGAAGATGGCAAGTCTAGAATATAGAGAGACTGGTTCTCATAGCAGTCATTTGGAGCCTCCCTTTATACCATATTTGTCAATTGTATCATATGTCAGGCAGCTGACTATTTTCAGAAACAGTGTTCATGACTAAGGCCCACAGTTACCCTTTGGAAGATCGAAAGGAATTATATATATTTTTAAAAGGTGATCCTGTGTGTATGTGTATTTCTATTATTAAGTTTGATTTCTTGCATATTTGTTTAACCCCTTTATTATCATGTGGACTTTTATATTACTAAATATATGGTTAAGGTCAAACTAAAAGTCATCTTACATTTAGAAACTAACATATCAGTTACAAGAGCATATGGTTAAATATTTTGGCTAACAGTTATCATTGATTTAAAGTTTTCATTTGTAAAAATTACCTGTTATACACCATCATACTGTTGTAACAACTCAGCCAAATTTATTTGTAAAAATAATATTTTTAAGATAATTTTACTTTTGTTTGGGATCAAGGGCAAAAATCTAGAAATAAATAACTTTAGTTACAGTTGTACATTATAATAAGGAACTTTTTTGTCATAATTCCTTAAATTTGTTTATTTCTGAATACATAAAAGTGTACTCATACACCAATAACATAACTTTTGAAACTTTCATTTACTTAATATTATAACTTCATAATCCATTAAAGTTTGTTCCAGTTGTAAACATTTGATTTTGTTTGTGTCTAACATAATCTTTTAAAAATGTTAACTCTAAAATAAATATTGTTTTCCATTGAAGATTGCCAAGGTTTTTTTTAACCTTAAGATTTGTAATTTATTTAGAAAGTCAATTATATTTAGCTATATAGCTGACATTGAATTGTTATTTTTCAGGTGGTTGAACAGGGTATGTTTGTAAAGCACTGCAAAGTAGAAGTATATCTAACAGAATTAAAGCTGTGTGAAAATGGAAATATGAACAATGTTGTAACACGAAGATTTAGCAAAGCTGACACAATAGGTATGAACAATCTATAATTTTTTATGACAAAATAAATCACTGCACTCAGATAATTTATTGTAACCTTACTAGTTCTGTCAGGACTTGGTACAATTTGAGGGGAAGGGTTCTATTTAAAGGATTTGGCTTGAAACTTAAATGTTGTTATATTGGTATAATTTTAACCAGAAATTGAATTATTTGGTGTGAAGTTTTTAAAGTAATCTTAAAATGTCACCATTTGCATTTTGTGGGTATTTTAATTAGGGTTTTTTTTTTAAGAGAGATTTATATTTTAAGTCAATACAAGTTATACAATATTTATTGTTTGAAGGGGAATTAAAATTGATAACAGTAAAATGTGTATTTAAGTAAATCTATTGTTAGCACTTAGTGAATTTTTTTGTTCCTTTTTAAAAATTGAAAATAACCTAACTACATAGTTATTATCCTCTTTCCCTTGGTAAATGAGAATATAAAGGCACAAAAGTGGCATTATGAAGAAATTTTAATGGAGCTTAAAGAATTGATAATTACATTTATTTTTAGTCATTCATCTCAATTGTATATGTTTTTCTTTCTTCTTTGTTTCAACTCTGCAGTTGAAATTCTGAAGGCCCCCCAAAAATGTTTTTTTAGCATAAAACTGAGTAATATTGTTATATTAAATTAATTTTTAAAGTTATCATTGGATTTAAAATGCCCCTATAAGTACTTTGTAAAAAGCAGCGTGGCCCAGTGGATAGACAGCCCCCCTCAAAGCCAAGAAGACCTCGGTTTGAGTCCTGCCTCTTCACACATACTGACTGGTGGCAGCTGTGGCACAGTACCCAAAGCACTATGCCTGGTCTGACTTTAAATTCAGCCTCAGATCCTTGCTAGCGATGTGACCCTGGTGAAGTCATTTAACCTCTGTTGGCCTCAGTTTCCTCAACTATGCAATGAGAATAATAATAACACCTACCTACCCAGGTTGTTGTGATGATCAAATGAAATAATTATAAAGTGCTTAGCATAGTGCCTGGCACATAGTAAGTGCTTAATAAATGCTTATTTTCTTCCTTCTTTCCTGTGTGACCCTGGGGCCAGGTACTTTAGGTTCCCAGCACTCTTGGCCACTCTCTAAGACTTAAAGTTGCAGAAAAGGTGCTACCCTGCACTGGTAAATTGGCTCCCCTCGGAGTTTCCCGAACTAATGAAATCACAGGTCTGATCTCTTTCCCTGCAGTATCTTGTGTATTATGTTTTAGAGACATGATACATTTTCCAATAAGTCTACATGTACTAATTGTATGAAAGTGGGTTCTTTCTTTTTAAATAAAGCATTTGTAGAATAGGCTTTTGGAATTAATGACAATGGCATCTGTCTTGTTTAAAAGCTTTAGAAAAAGGAAAAGAGTGCCAGGTACATCAAGCCTCTCTTCTGACTGTTACTCCTGATGTCCTCATTATTGAAGACACTAGCAGTCACTAGAGGCTAACTGAGATTGGATAGCTCTGAGACTTCTCAGTTTGCTTGGTCAGCATTCCTCACACTCTCAGAACTGTGTGAGTGCTTGATTTTCACCAGTGACGTTGGGCTCTGGGTTGCTTCTACATCACAGCAAGAACCCATTTTCACCTGACTCTTTCATGTGCAGAAAACCACTGCTTATTCTAGTGAGTGATGGGTTAATAAGTACATTGTGGTTTATAGAATTTCTGCTTGTTCCTGTTTAAAGCTCAAGCATGTGAAGGGCTCTGTATTGTATTGTATTGATTGTCATTTTAGGGGGGAAACGTTAAATGGTAAATGTATGATTATATTCAATTTATTCAGAATGAGAATTCTTATTGAGCCCTTGAATATTTGGTTCATTAAAGGGCATAAAACAAATATAAAACAAATAATTTTCAGTATTATCCATAAAATAATATGTGAGTTATATTATTGAAATCAGGATAAATCTTTTAGAATTACTTAATACAGTCTGCTACATAAGATTATTCTAGAAAACAATTCTTAAGTATTTCAACTAAATTAACTAAGAATCTCTGTTTAAAAGTTCAAGTTTTTCAACTTTTTTATGAGAGAATCTGAGTGAGAGCATCAGAGATCTTGGAAAAAAAACTAAGAATGTTATTTTTTTTTTTAGCTTACTAACCTAAACTTAACTTATTTAGTAAGGAACATTTAATAATGTCATATTACTCTGGATTTACAGTTATCAAGTTTATGTAAATTGAGCATTACCTTTTATATAATTTGAGCACATGTATATTGAAGTTAAGTAAAACTGTTTGGATTAGTCACATTTTCTGTAGGAGATGAATTTTGATGAAATAAAAGAGAAATCATATATTAGTAGTAATGGGGGGGATGTGAATATATATCACAAAGTAACAGAAGTCTTAGAGATCACTTAGTCCAAGATACAGAGAAAGGGAATTCTCAGGTGAAGAAAGTCCTTCTACCAATGCAGGTCGGTGCCTTCTCTGAAACGTCTAGAGTCTAATAGAATTGGCTAGAACACTATGAGGCTAAGGAACTTGGCCAGATCAAGTAGCCAGTTTATGTACGATGCTGTACTTGCACACAGGTCTTCTGGCTTCAAAAGCCACCTCCCGTTATGCTGTACTAACTAATCTATTCCAAAACTTCTTGTTTTCAGATATATCTTTCATTTTATTTCTCTTTGATCTAAAAAAATCAATGAATAATAACCAAAATGCTATATTTATATAAACATATGTAACTTCCCCTTTGTAGCTCCACATAGCTACCAAAGTGATTTTCCTAAAGTTCAGGTCTGATCATGTCACCCACTCAGCAAACCCTACTTGTTCTGCTGCATCTAGAGTCAGATATAAGCTTTCCTATTTTTAGTCTTCTTAGTACATACCCTGTATGTACCCTGTGTTCTCCCCATACCAGTCTAACTATTTTGCACACACCATGCATGAATCTCCCATCTTTGTACCTTTGCGCTGGCAGTCTCCCATAATTTGAATGCATTCTTTCCTCACCTCTGTCTTTTGGAATTTTTGGTTTGCTTCAAAACTCTGCTCAAGTGTCACCTTCTTCATGAAGCCTTTCCTTATCCTATTCTGTTCCCCCACCCCACTCTGATCCTATGGTAACCAACCTATATTTTATATTTCCAAAACTACCCTATAATCATCTTATATCTATTCTATATGGTCATGTGTTTTTATTGCCTTCTCCATTAGAATTATAAACTTCTTGAGGCCAGAGAGTATTTTCACTTTTGTCTTTGTAGCCATACCTCTTTACTCAGTTCCTTGTACCTAGGAATCTCTTAATAAATGTTTTTTGATTGATGAGAATATGCCAGCTTATGAAAAATTAATTTATAAGTTAGTTGTTTGAAACAACACATTTTCCATTAGGAAATTTTAATACTTCTTTCTTTTTCATTTAGTCCCTATAAGGAAGATCAAAGTCTCATTGTGGATAGTAAGGAGGGAAATAAGATTCAGCTGCAGTGCATCTCTATTTACTGTATTTTGGTTTGCCTAGGCACTCTATCACAGAAGCAGTGTATGGGGACTCTAGAAGGATGAGTTAAATATAGTGTTTATAGGATGGGGGAACTTTTTTTTATCACCCTTACCCATTGGTCCTATTCGAATCACTATTGAGACAAATGAACCTCAGATTTTATCCCCTTTAGGGGACAACCTGAAGAAAAATATTTCTTATATTACAAAGTTCTGGTTTTAGAACAGAGAACATTTTGCTTTCATAGTCTGTCTACAAGCCTTTGACCTCTTTCATTTATTTCAAACTATATTTCCTTACATTTTTTCCCATCCTTTCTCAGCCTGCCTTCTTAATGAAGTCATCAAATACTTGTTTATATTTTGACTTGGTTAGGGAGATCTTGTTCATTTTTTCATGGAATTTTCTATTTCCTCCTCTGCAGTAAATATTGTCACACAAACGAGTTGTTTTCATGGTAGTCTATTCTCTTATTATGAACAATGCAAAGTATGATGACCAGAAAAACACACGTCTGTGCGTGCGCACCCACGAACACACACATACTCACACACAAAATGATGTTTCTTATTGCCTTTGGACTTAAAACCACTTCTTTGCAGTTTGTCAACATTAATGTGTTTTAATTCTTCCAGCGGTAGTCTGTGATCAAAAAACCTTATAAAAGTACTAATAATGAAATTTATGTTTATAAATAGTTTTAAAACTCAGTGGTTCTTATCACCCTCTGCTACTGTGATACCATGACTGGAAATAGAAGGGAGCCACTGAGAACTGAGAACCATGATATATCTTACTTTGTTTCATATATTGTCCTGACCAAAGAAAAACCTTGTAGATAGCTTACTAATGATGATCCCTCTGCTTAGTTAGGCTGGTTCTTGTTCACCCTGTTTAGACAGTCTCCTCCTGAAAGCAAGAACCCAGGATCACATTCATGCCTCAGTGAGGGTGGAAATTGGTCTTTTTTTGGTGGCTTTGCCAAAATTGTTTAACAAATACAAAGCTTCAAGGACTCAGTTTTTCTACTCTGATCCTTGTCCAAGCCTTTTTATTGCAAAACTGAGAACATATTGTCACTTTGAGAGACGCTAACCTCACCCGCAGCTAGGTTCTTTTATTGTTCAGTTATTTTTTCTCATTCCTTCTTTAGGAAGTACTATAATAGTTTTTAAAAGCTTCCCCTTCCTGGAAGATCATATTCGTGTCAACAGAGAATATAATTAATATGCCAATGCCAGTAAGAATTTAAGAACATTTGAAAACTTGTTCATTTTGATTTTTTTTTCATCTAAATTTGATCTCTTGACATTTTCTCATTTGCTAGCAAAATATGTAATAAAAGAATGTTTAGTAAATGATACATAGTCTAATTTGGAATATTTTTTAAAATTCATTTTATTAATTAGCTTTTGTTTTAAATATCTCATTCAATTTTATTTTTGAGATCTATATTAAAGGTACCATTTTGTTTAGATATGCTTTATAACCTAACTGATTCATATTAAAGAAGAGAAATTTAGGTTTTGTCAATATGTTTGGTTTGGGTTATAATTATAGAGCTGTGTTTTACTGATTATAATTTTTATTAGGTAAACTTCAATACATTTATTTCTTAAATTTTGATTACTCTGATATTTAGCTCATTCTAGTATATTTGAGTCTTAATAACTTTAAATTTTAAGAAACAGTGTTATCAAAACATTTTATATGCTGAATTGTAATTTTGCGTTTGATTTATTTTATAGTCACATAATTGATACACAGGAATAGAATGTGATAATAAAATATATACTTCAAAGTACCATATTTGGGGGGAATTGGTTTTAATTTTAAGATCTATGTGTTTCACTGCTATGGTAATTGCTTTGAAGACTACTTATCTTTAATGGTCTTGATTTAATTTGTTATAGCTGAAGTTATTCAAAGGTAAATATCACATCCATTATTTATCAAATAATGAACTAGTTGCTGTAAAAAGCCATTTTGACCTTTAGTTTCTGTGATTTATGTTTGATTTATCTCTTTATTATTGATTTGAATGGAGTGGCTATTAATTTTTTTAAACATACATTTGAAATAAAAATCACTTGTGTAACATAATTTAACATTTTTGTGGCTTATGTTGGAATTTTTGCCTACAGATGCTTTAGTTCTGAAAATAATTACTTTTCAGAATTATCTTTTCTTCCTAAAGCATCCTTGATTTTGAAAATGCTCCTCACAGTACTCATATGTTTATAGATATGTCAGATTCTTCTTGCCCTCCTAATAGTATGTGAAGTTTCTTTTTTTTTTTTTAAATCTGTTCTTTATTATAGACCCATGATTTCATGGTATAGGAAACTGATGAAGAAATTCCCTCTACCAATGCAGATCATTAACTGTTATACAGTTTGTAGTTTTTAAGGGTTGTGTTGGATACTTACAGGTTTAAGTGACATGCCTAGGGCAGTGAATGTGGGGGCACGTGTGTATGGGTAAGAAAGAAAGAAAGATGGGACTTGAATGCAGTTTTGTCTGACTCTCAGGCCAGCTTCCTGTCCACTATGTCATCTTCCCTCTTATTTAAAGTTTTGAACTATTAATTAGTGATTAATTTTTTGATGTGGTGAACTTTTAAAAAAGTTTTTACATTTATATTTCTTTCTTTAAATTCAGATACAATTGAAAAAGAAATAAGAAAAATCTTCAATATTCCTGATGAAAAAGAGACCAGATTATGGAATAAATACATGAGTAATACATTTGAACCACTAAATAAGCCAGACAGTACCATTCAGGATGCTGGTTTATATCAAGGACAGGTATTGTTCATCAACACTTTTTATTTTAAGTATGCTAGATACCACTCCCTGTGTATTCATGTATTGGTTGCGTACCTATATAATCCATAATGGGCTCAGTAGACCTAAAAGGTATTAATTAATGGATCACTGTAATCCTGGAGAAGGTAATCTAATGAAGGACTGAAGGGCTCTGTCCTTGGCCCTATTCTGTTCAACATTTTTATCAGTGTCTTAGATGAAGGCATCATATATATCATATATCTATCAAATATATGGGTGCATTTAGGGGATAATGGCTACATTTAAAACAGAATAAAGATCTGAAAATTTCCTGGTAGGCAAGGAGTACATAAGTATAATAAGGTAAATATAACATCTTATTTTTAGTTTCCAAAAATTTACCTCTACAAGGATGGAGTTTTGACTAAGTAACAAGTTCATGTGAAAAAATCCAAAAGCTTTATTGACCTTAATCAGCATAAGCCCAAAGTAGATCATGGAGGTGGGGAAAATCTAATAATGCTTTTATATCACAAAGAAATGTATTGTCCAGAATGCTGGTGATAGAGTTGCACTGTTCTCCATCCTTGTTGGATTACATCTAGAAATACATTCAGTTCTCGATGTTACTTTAAAAAACATATTGATAAGTTGGAGTGGCTACAGAGGTGTTAAGGAGATCTTAAACTATGTCATACATGGACTGGTGAAATGACCTGCAAAAGGAAGACTTGGAAAGGAGGGCCTATTATAGCTTTCTTTAGATATCTGAAGAATTATCTGTGGAAGAAAATTCATACTGCTTGGCCTCAGAGAGTAGAAGTTGGATACTTTCTGTACTCGTATCCTCAGAGATACAAGCACAGTACGTTGGCACATACTGGACTTCATAAGACATGTCATTTCTTTACAAGGAAAAACTTCCTAGCAGTGCTGTTCAAAAAAATTGAATAGCTTTAGATGTTTTAGAGAGTGTGCATGTGTTAAAAGTTAGATAGAGGACCTCTGAGATTCCTTCTAACTCTTGAGGTTCCATGATTCTGTGACTTGGGACACAGCTTGTTAAAGCTTAGTAACACTTCTTGATGGGAGACAGTCAACAGCTGAGATTGGCACATTTTACTCTTAGTAGGCTTTCATTAAATGTTTCTTGAATTGAAATCAATTTCACATAAATGAGCAAATAGGCTAGTGAAAAATACATTTATACAATATGTTCACATTTTATTATAATTCAGCTAGTTGAATTTTCTTCCTTACAGCTTCTCTGTAATATCTATCACTTCCAACATCTTGTTAACATTTATTTAAATTCTTTATTGATGACCATCCCTCCAAATGTTTCTATTCTGCATTGACTTAAATTCAGCAAAAGTGGGCAGAGAAACCTATCTGAAAACCATTTGTTTGGAAGAGGATGCTGCCAGGGACAGTTTAGAAAGGCGTAACTGTTTAGATTCTTATTTGACTAAAAGGTAATATTGTCCATTTCAGTGAGAGTGTGGTGAGAACAATACTTGGGTTAGGGGGAAGATGGGTAAAATTGAATAATTGCTCAACGTCTCTTGAGCCACATCTCCACAGGTGTGGCTTTAACATGTTTAAGGTTTTAACATAATATCCACATATGAACATGTAAGTACATAAATTTCAATGCCTAAATGGATAACTGTAGCATTACTTGCTACTTCACATCATCCATGCCACTTTTTTATCAGTACAGAGTAGAGATGATTTTAGAATTACCATCTATATTATTGTTTCTATAAAATAATTCTTATTAAAGACTATTTAAAGTTAATATGAATTCAAAGTAATTACAGTGAAATAAGCATTTTTTGGCATCTAGTATTAGTTGTGCTAACTAGCTGTGCAACCTTTGGCCAAGCCATATTTCCCTGAGCCTTTCTCTATTTCCTCAACTTTTAAAATGAGAAGATTTGACCAGGTGACACATCTGAGATCTCTTGTGACTCTCAACTTCAGTGAGTAGCCCAGACATTTTCCTATGATAATCATGGTAATTGTTTATAATAATATTGTTTCAGCAAAACCTGGTTACCTTTTCTTATCATAATTATGTGTTGTGATGTTCATAATTGATCACATACACACACACACATACTCATTCATATACATGTAGTGCTTAAAGATTGAAAATGCACCTTTGCTAACAAAAACCCTATAACATAGGTAGTGCAGGTATTGTGTCCATTTTACAGATGAGGAAACTGAAGCTCAGAAAAGTTAATATATATTGTCAGAGCCGAGATTCAAATGCACATCTCCTGTTTCCAAGTCCTGTTTTCTCTTATTTAGACATTCATTGTTAGCCATTTTTAGAAAGTTTGGTTTGCTAAGCCCTTGGTTACTTCTCAGTTCAGAAAAATGATAAAATATTAGGAGTTAGAAGACACCTCAGAGGTCATTTTATTAACTCTAGCCTACTTTTCTATTCTTTTGAGCTTTGTGTTGATAATTTTGATAAGCATCCCATTTATGCTTTTTTTCAAGTCAGTGATAAAAATGTTGAACTGATGAAGAACAAGGATAACCCTGTAACATTCCTAGAGCCTTTCCTCTAGATTAACATTCTTATTAATCAGTGCTCTTTTGGTCTGTTCATTTAATTTTATATGTACAGTAGTTATACAGTCATAAAGCCTATATCATTTCACAAGAATGTCATGAGAGATTTTCCTTGCTGAGATATAAGTATATAATGTGTACTACTTATATGACTGGCTATTGAAATAAGAATGTCATTTTTCTTACTGCCTCCTAGTGATCCCTGTATCCATTCCTGAATACACTGACGAAACAAGTAGAGCAAGAATCATAACACACTGGTTAAATGATTTTTTTGTAGTCATACAAATAGTACTCGTTCTCTACAGATCAGTTCTCAGAGTTTGACATCGATTCCTAAGAAAATAACGATACAGATTTTGCTAGGTGTTTTGTTTACTCGGGTAATGAGTTGAAACTAAGATCAAAACCTGGTTGTTATGATATCTAGCCATAAGTCAATTTTTTTTTCTATTGCTATATCACATCTGAACCCATTTCTTTTTTGGACTAAAAATTAAAAACTGTAGTGGGTAAATTTTGGTTTTTAACTTTAAAATTATAGAAGACCATTTTACTACATATTATTTGCAGATGCTAGTAATAGAGCAGAAAAATGAAGATGGAACATGGCCAAGGGGTCCTTCAACTCCGAAGTAAGTGTCTTAATTTTTTTATTGACTTACTACTGAGTGATTCAGCCTTTGTGCTCTTATAGCTACTTTTTGTATATTAAAATGCGGAATGATTGAAAGAGTGTACCTGAAATATAATCTATATGCCCCCATTAAATGTTTCAGGATTTTTTTCTTAATTTTCAAATTGATTTAAACTTGTATTTATACTAATGCATCTTATTAAAAGTGGCAAATCTGTATTGTAAAATATTTTATGTTTTTATTGGCAATATTGATGTAAAAAGGATATTTTTGAGAAATAAGAAATAGAATGCCAATTCCTGATGAATGACAGGGTCAAAATTTAAGATACTTTTCTAACTATCTTCAGATATTGATCATAGGGCATGTGTTGGTAATAGTTCATTTATATAGTATAGACAAATGCTTTTGGTGCCATGTTGACTTTAATTTTAATAAGCAAAACAATTTAGCTATCTACTTGCTCATAACATAAAAGAAAACAATCTTAAATTAAACTGCAGTCTTAAAATATACATAATAATTGTGCAACAGTTATATAGTTTATTTTTTTTTGAAATATCCATAAAAATTGCTTTTTTGGGAAACTGCTGGGCATCCTAGTTAAATGCTTGTTTTCATAGCCAAGTTACGGTGGATAACTGTACAAAGGTGTGTACTTGGTACAAAGAGAAAACAAGGGATACATGTAGGTTGAGTAGTGCAGTGAGAGATTTAGTCTACCTTGCAAAATGGGAATAATTTCTGTTTGGAAGTTTATATTCAATTACTGGTTCCTTACTAAGGTTAAAATTTGAATTAAAATTGGATCTTCTTGTATTTAGAGTTCCATAAACTTGATTTGTCTTGGCACATAATTTGCAAAGATATTCAGTACATTGAAGAAAACTGATACAGTGGAAAGAACACTAGATTTAGAGTCTAGGTCAGCTCTTGGATGCCCTTTAACTCGCTGTGTGATAACTGTCAAGTTGTTTAATTGATTAGAGCCTATTCTTTAAAATGAGGATCCTGCCAGTGTTACAAGGATCACATGAGATAATATATGTAAAACACTTACCTGTAAAGTACTATAGAACTGCAAGTTGCTATTATTATTAGTATTGTTATTACTATTATTAGAGTCGTGCAAAAGATTCACTTAGTCACTGACATTCTTCTTGAAATTGTTGATTTCCTGTTGAAAGATGAGTTTTTTTGATCCTTCATTTCATTGAATATCTTTCCTTCAACTTTAATTGTTTTTTGAAATCAATACATTTGCTTAATATGTGCAATTGTAAAAATGCTGCTTGGAGGAGATATAGAAATCTAAAGCATCATCTTATCCTTAAGTAGCTCACAATCTAGTTTGAGAAACAAGGCACATTATGTCATACTATTATGTTGCTAAGTAAAAATACAAAGGATAAATTCAGTATGACAGTACCAGAGATACCCATTAAAAAATATGTGATGTCAAATGAATGGTTTGTAGTTTATTGAAAATTGGTAGCATTGTCCTACAAATATAATTGAAGGGATAGGACATTGTATTATTTTGTTAAATTATGAATTAATATCTTGGGCCAATCAGAATTTAATGAGATTTGGAATTATGTATTGTATGACCAATACTGTTTCCTAGCAGATATTTCAGTTAGCTTGATTTTTACATAGTCATTCAGTATCAGGAAACTTGATAGTTTGTGGCACAATAAGAAAATTTTACTTTTTTATTGAAAATTATCTGAAAGGTAGTATTTAGTGGATAGGAAGCCTTCCTTAGAATCAGGAAGTCCTGGATTCAAGTCCTTCCTCTGACAGGAAAAAAAAAAAAAAGCTGTGTGGGCAAATCACTTAACTTCCTATTGCCCTAGACAACTTTATCATCTGCGGGGGGGGGGGGGGGGGGGGTGTTCCCCCCCCCAGAATTCCTTTCACCTCAGAACAATCACACATCTGCACTCCTCTCCCCAAATAAAAAAATGGTATGACTAAACTGCCCCTTTGATTGTTCTTCCTAGTTAGTGATTGAAATGTTTTAAAATAAACCATTTCATATTGGAGAGGGCTTGCCAGGAAACTTAACAAATAAGGTAATCTCTATAAAACCACACTGGAGATCTTCTTTTACCAAGAAAATACTATATTTAACAAGAAAATACCAAATACTTTATTTAAATGACTTTGGCTGAAACTAAAAGCAAATGATCACAAATATTCCAGAAGTCAAAAAAAGTATCTTTAGGTTATTTTGGTCAAAATTAAGACGTCTTGTATATTCACCTAGAGGTTTATTTGAATAACAACATTTAGCAGTGGGCCTGGAGTCAGGAAGACCTGAGTTAAAATCCAGCCTCAGCCACTTACTAGCAGTGTAACCTTGGGCAAGTCCCTTAACCTCTCTGTGCCTCAAATTCCTTATCTTTAAGTGAGGATATTAATAGCACCTACAGCCTAGGATTGTTATGAGTATCAAATCAGAAAATATTTGTAAAGTGCTTAAGCACAATGCCTGGCACATAGCACTGTATTATTATTATTGTTATTATCTTTATTTCTAGCCTATTATAAAACTTTGGGATACATACTGTATATGAATAACTGTAAGTTAATGCAATATAACAGATATACAAGATTCAAGGTAAAAACTTGGGGTTCATCTATGAGTATGGACTTGAGGGGCACTCATAATACTCGTGAGAAAACCTCAGCAAAATAAGTTCAAATGAGAATATTGAGCCAATATTTTTTAACTGAGGGTCTGAGCCAGTAGTTTTACACAGTCCCTGTACTACCCATGTTTTTCTTGTTAAGCGAATTTCAGAATGTTGATTGAGACACTGCAGCATCCTAGCCATGAATGCTTTGCCTTGGACTAAAGAACACTTTATAAACATAATTGTTAAGTATCATTACTTTCATGTGGTAAAGTAATTAAACCTTTATTTACTTGGATATGAGATCATGTAACTTAGGCCCCTCTGCATAGATAGGTCATATGCAGGGTCTCTTAGGTTATACTTAAATAATTTTTAGGGCAAAATCTCAAAAATTGGGGGGTTTTTTTGAGTCTTTAACTACTATGTAGTTGAAATTCAAATTATCTATAGGACTATATTATATGCCATTTGAAATATTGTGTTATTTTTACTAATGATGAGTTATGAGTAATCGTTTTCCTATAAAATGTATCAGATATATTTATTTACTTTCTCTGATTTAAAGAGAAAAGTTCTGAACTTGATAACCCCTTTGATCATGTTAAACCTAATAAATTTGGCTATAAAGAATGGATTTTGCCCTGGCATGCTATTAATATTCTCTATTACAGTTTTCCTAGGGTCGAGAACATTCTTTTAAACTGCTTGTAAAGGGTAGTTTTTATACAATCATGGAAGCATATATATAAAAGAACCTCAGTCAAGTCACAACATTTATTAAATACCTACTATGTACCAGATACTGTGCTAAATCCTGGTGATACAAAAAACAAGTGTCCTCCTCCCCCAAAACAAAACAAAATTGGTTCCTACTCTCGAGGAGCTCATAGTCTAATGGGGTGAGGGGAGATGCTTGGGGACAGCATAGAAATAAAATATATACAGGATAAATTGGAAATACTCTGAGGAAGAAGGCAGTAGTATTAATGAAAGGCCTCTGAGGTGTCTTCTGACTCCTAATATTTTATTGTGTTTCTGAACTGAGAGGTAACCAAGGGCTTAGCAAACCAAATTTTAATTAATCTACCTTTCAAAGCCCTTCCCACTCTGGTCCCAGATTACCTTTACAGCCTAATTAAAAGTTACTTCTCTGATCAAGACAAGTTCACCCTCCTTTCCTCATTTGGGACACTCTCGTGTCCTGGCCTTGTGCCTTTGCCCCCATGGCCAGAATGTACTAGCTGCCCCTGTGTATTATCTCCTGACCTCTGCCCTTTAGAATGATTTATTTCCTTGAAAACCCCATTTTAAATGCCACTTTCTAAGGAAAGACTTACCTGATCACCTCAGGTGCTGTTCCTCCACCCCAAAATTTAGCTTGCATATATTTAATATCTACGTATTTGTGTATGTGTCATCTCGCTAATATAGTACAAGCACCTTCAGGGCAAGGACAGTTGCACTGTTATCCCTGGCATTGGGTATCTGACTGTGTAATCCTGGGCAAGGCACTTAGCCTATCACTAGAGGGAATTTCCTCATGCTAGAGTTCTCAGTACCAATGAAATCACCAGTCAAGTCTCCATCCCTTTCCCCAGTACTTTGCACAGTGCATAGCATGTGGTAGTAAATACTTGTTGAGTCATATATACCACAGAACATGTTGTAGTTGCATAGCACACATTTAATGCATCCAATCTGGGCATTTTATGGATAGATGGAAAACCATCTCCCCTCCTCGTCTTTCTAGGTCCGACTTAACTTAGCTGTTCATGCCTGGAAGCATTCCTCCTACGCAGCATCCTTTCAACCCAAAAGCAGGCCATGGAGAGAGATCCTCTAGGCCGCTGCTCTGCTTCTGTGTCTTTTCAGTCTTTCTCATATTTACCCATTGACACTCTAGGCATCATCTTATATGGGCTCGTTGGATGTTTTTCACAACTCATGTATTCCCTCCCCCAAAAAACCTTTGTTTCCTTATGGAAAAATCCATAAATGTTCAGGATCAGTATAATCAGTCAATCTGCACCATTTATCCAGTATTATCAAAGGATGAGATTTTGAGTCAGCTAATTTTCCAGATAAGTAAAGGGTATATCTTTAGGCAACTATATTTTTTAAAATAATTTTTTTTATGGAATACTCTGATCCTTCAGTGGAAATTAGCACTTTAATTTGAGTACTCAATCCTGTGGGGCAGATCTGATCCTACCCACCTTTCTTTGTCCATGTTCACATATAAATCCTTTGTAAGTGGTTTCCTAGTACGCTTGGAAGCTACTCTCCAGGTCTTTTATATATATATATATATATATATATATATATGAGCACAAGTTATTGTTGGTAATATTC